TTCCTTCAATCCCTCAGTCTCTGTGACACTGTCCTCTCGTGGTTCTCCTCCTATCTCTCCAAACATTCGTTCAGTGTCTCCTTTTGCAATGACACCTCCTCCTCTCATCGTGTCTCGGTTGGAGTCCTCCAAGGATCTGTTCTTGGTCTCCTTCTGTTCTCTCTTTATACTGCCTCTCTTGGCAAACTCATTAACTCCTTTGGATTCCGCTACCATCTGTATGCCGAAGAAACCCAAATATATATCTCCTTCCTGGAGGTCTTCCCCGCGGTTCTGCAATGTGTTACTGCTTGCCTTTCTTCAATCTCTGATTGGATATCCTCCCGCTTTCTGAAACTCAATCTCTCTAAAACTGAGCTTCTTATTTTTTCCCCCTGATAATGCTGATCCTCCTTCTTCGCTTTCCCTGAATGTTGATGGTACTTTCATCAGTCCATCCTTGCAAGCTCGTCGTCTTGGTGTTATCTTTGATCCTGGTCTCACCTTTGCGCCACATATTCAGTATGTTGCTAAAACCTGCCGATTCCACCTTAAAAACTTTCATAATATTGTAAAGCGCTGCAGAATTAGTTGGTGCTATATAAATACCAATAATAATAATAATAATGTTGAGGGGGCACATTTGAGACACAGCAATTCAGTTTTTTTCAAACTTTTAATCTTTACTGTGTCCATGTTTCATTTTGAAGTAGTTTAGCTGGTTGGTTATTCAAACTACCCCACAAACGCATACTATTTTTTAAAGAATACACCCTGGGGTATTCCAAATGGCATATTTTGAACCTCAGCGTGGGATAATTTTTTTGCTAGTTTGTTCCAGGTGTAGTGGTTATGAGCATTTTTTTTCTGTACGTTTTTTTATTTATTTATTAAATTTGTAAAAATTTTAAAAACTTTCTTAAAACTTTTTTTTACGTTTATAAAATTCTTATGAACTTTGTTTTACTGTTAACCCCTAGCTAGCCTAACAGTATATTCCCCACTAACTCCCACCCACACCAGCTAGCTAAATATATAATTTTAAAATAGTTAAACTAATTAATTAAATAAATTGAAGCCCTACATTTTTTTAAAAGTTAGCCCTCAGGTGTTAAAAAAAATTCAGATCACAGTAAAATGTAGTCCCTGCCAAGTCATCACTGTAGTCAGTAATCAATTGGCAGAGAAGGGGTTAATTTTAATAAATCAGGGGAAAGGGGTTGTGGGATTTAACTAAAACTTACATTTTTTTTTTTAACAGGGGAAGCTGATCCGTCTCCCTGCACTTCACACTGAACACGGAAGAGCAGGAAGGCGGATCAAAAGTCCCTGCAGCACATGTGATCACAGCTGCAGGGATGGCGCGATCAGGTGCTCCTGGTCTGCCTCAGATATCACTGTGTTCCGGGATTAACGTTAGTAAATGACGGTAATTTTCCATCATGTGTCCTTAACGCTAGGACAAGCATGGCGGAAAATTTCCATCTTGTGTCGGGAAGGGGTTAATTCAGCATTTAGTAAATAACCCTGAAGGACTTCATACCATCTCTTTAAAACAACTGGCATAGTTACACCATTATTCATGCTCTAAAAACATGTACAGTTAAATGTCTGCTTCCCATGAGAGAATATATAATTAACCATTCAAACCATGATTTCTTAGCTGGTTTCATTTTATAATTTAGAATAAAAATATTAATTAACCTTCAAAGATAAAATGTTAAAACCACTGCTCATGCAATGTGTGCAGTTAAAACCATTCTAATGGTTTACATTTTGCACAATAGCTTTCTATTAATATATTTATATTATTTTGTAAATGGATTTTTTATGTATGTTCCAAGGTCCATTTCATCTATATTTTAAAAATATTGCATATATTTTTTTTTCCAACTTCTGGTAAATGTATGAAGCGATATGTAAGGAATATTAAAAGCATTCTTACACCATACAGTTGTGCTCAAAGGTTTGCATACCCTTGGAGAATTTTAAAGAAAACATGAGTGAGCAGGCAAAACACATTTCTTTTATTTCTTATGGGTTTCGTATTCAACTGTACGTTATATCAGAATGGCACGATCATAAAACAAAACATGGCAACACAGAAAAAAATAAAATGACCCATGTTCAAAAGACTGCATACCCTTAGTTCTTAATACTGTGTATTGCCCCTTTTAGCATCAATGATGGCGTGCAGTCTTTTGTAATAGTTGTCTATGAGGCCCCAGATTCTTGCAGGTGGTATAGCTGGTCATATAGGTGTAGGTGGTATAGTCTTTGGTCACCTTGCATAAACCGAGCGTTTGAGATCTCCCCAGAGTGGTTCAATGATATTAAGGTCAAGAGTCTGTGATGGTTACACCAGAACCTTCACTTTTTTCTGCTGTAACCACTGAAGGGACAACTTGGACTTGTGCTTAGGGTCACTGTCATGCTGGAAAGTCCAAGAGCGTTCCATGCGCAGTCTTCGTGCAGAAGAATGCAAATTATCTGCCAATATTTTCTGATAACATGCTGAATTCATCTTGACATCCTTTTTCACAAGATCCTCGTGCCTTTAGAGCTTACACCCCCCAAAAATATCAGTGAGCCATCACCATGCTTCACAGTGGGGACTGTATTCTTTTCACTTTAAGCCTTGTTGACGCCTCTCCAAACATAGCACATTCAGTTGTGACCATAAAGCTATATTTTGGACTCGTCACTCCAAATTACAGTGTGCCAGAAGCTGTGAGAAGCTTTTGTATGGCATTGGTGCAGCAATTGTCGGGCATATTGTAACTTGGCCTTTTTGTGGCATTGGCGCAGTAAAGGCTTCTTTCTGGCAACTCGACCATGCATCTCACTTTTGCTCAAGTATCGTTGTATTATGCTCCTTGAAACAACCACACCGTCTTTTTCCAGAGCAACCTGTATTTCTACTGAGGTTACCTGTGGATTTTTCTTTGTATCCCGAACAATTCTTCTTGCAGTTGTGGCTGAAATCTTTCTTGGTCTACCTGACCTTGGCTTGGTATTAAGAGATACCTGAATTTTCCACTTCTTAATAAGTGATTGACAATACTGACTGGCAGTTTCAAGGCTTTGGATATCTTTTTATATCCTTTTCCATCTTTATAAAGTTCCATTACCTTGTTACGCAGTACCTTTTTTTTTTTTTTGTACTTTTATGCTTTTCATGGCTCAGTATCTAGACTGCTCAGTGCATCCACATGAGGGCTAACAAACTCATGGACTTTTTATACACAGACACAAGTTGCAATTTAAAAAGCAACAGGTGTGGGAAATTAACCTTTAATTGACATTGTAACCCGTGTGTCATCTCGTGTGTCTACAACAAGGAAAACATTGAAGGGTATGTAAACCTTTTATCAGGGTCATTTGGGTGATTTCTGCTATCATTATGATTTAAAAAGGAGCCAAACAACTGTGTGATAATAAATGGCTTTATATGATCACTATCCTTCAATAAAATATTTTTTTTGCACAACCAGTCATATTTTTCAAATCAATTCCAAAATTTCACAATTTCTGCCAGGGTATATATCAATATATCACTGGTATTCAAATACAAGGAGTATAATATTGAAGAGTATATACAGCACCACAAACATCACAAATAGCCCTACAAAATGCATACATCTCTATGACAGGAATATTTACTGAAGTGAGAATTCAAAGTGAATTTCAAATTTCATTTCAAAATAGCAAAACTGGAAAAATTATCTAAGTCAGTCTTGCATTCACTTTGGCTACTCTGGCCTTAAATGTGAAATTTAAAATGAATTCACTTTGAATTCTCCCTTTAGTGAATAATCTTTGGGGTTATTCACTAAATACTGGAACACAGATGGTTAAAATCCGGTAAAAATTACCGAATTCCGACCACAATGGCAGGTCTTATATTTACTAAAGCTAAATATGGATGGAATTCAGTCTCCCCGAATGAATCTGCAGCAATCGCCCAGAAGCATACAGTGTCAGGATCAAAATCAGTGCAAACGACAATTTCAAGTGCAATTTGCCCATTATCAGTGCTAGAAACTAGCAGGAAATTAGTTAAATAACCCTTTGGTAATGCGAGGGATAATAATGTGTTGGCTGGCCAGTGCTTGCTAGCCAGTCACAACATTAAAAAAATAAGTTCAAATAAATAAATAAATGAAAAACCTATGCATGTTAATAAGACCCCAATATTACTACATTAGCGTTTATAAACCTCCATATGTATGAATAACCCCACCTGTATATTTTATAAAGGTGTGCTAAGGGAAAAATGAACATTCTAAATAAGTATCTATTAGTGGAATTGGATCACCTCGAAGTTATTTCATATATTCATCCAAACATGAACAAAGCATGTACACCTCTTATATATAGTTGTGTGCTTGTGGTTTTTGGCAAGCTGCTGAAGCAGTGAATTTTCAGACTCTGCAGTACTTACATAATTGGATTGGATTTATTAAGTATGTACTTCATCCAAGAGTATACATACACATTTCACAAATTATATGATATTACTTTTAATGCTACAGATATTTAAAGGAACACTTGAAAACCCCTAAAGCACTTTAGCTTTTACATTAGCTTGCTTAAGCGCTGATAATCTCCTCAAGGTGAAGCGGCGTGGTGGTGGGGAGGCTCCCTCGCTGCTGGATTAGAGGTTAGTTTACTATTTATGTTATATGAAAGGGGAGTGTAGGGTCAAGAAAACTAAACAGCATTCCAGCTTTACAAATAGATGTATATTTTTTAGAACCCCGGAGTAATAATTTAGAGACAGAAACATATATCCTTTTGTGTAATACAATTCCAAACTGTTTAAAAGCTACACTTCTCAATAGCCTTCGGCAAGTGACTTGCTGAGTTTTTGTTTGCCAAACATTTATGGGAACAATCTAACAGCTGGATGATTGGTCTTTGAATAAACCATATAGTGTGTGCCCAAAATCATGATTTGAAAAAAACATGAGTATGTTGTTGTGATTTAAGCCATATACTATTTTTAAAACAGGTCTTTACAGATTCTGCTGAAATCTAATTTAAAATCTGAGATCTGCATGTGTTTATGTTTTATACAGATTCAGGGTGACTTTGCATAAACAATATTCTATTTTCCAACATATTTTTGATTTACTTATGGCATTTAGATCCGTGTAACTGACCTAGGAACTGCTTAGTGGTTTTAATTTTAAGTGTCGTAGGCTCATTCATTATCAGTTTCGAATGCTGCATATTTTCTTTCTGTATCCTCGGGAAGGTAACCTTTAGAATTCTTTAACAAGCTTGCCTCCTGCTGAAAATCCTCTTCTGCTGAGCAGTTGCTCGTACCCAGTGGAAGTGGTCAGTAGGGATGCGCCTAATTAGGAAGCTTGGATGATGACTATTTGCCTGCAGGAAAGAGTTTACAGCTGTTTTCCTTCTATAAATTTTGTACTGTATGTTACCTTTATTATCATGTATCAACATCACACCGGGAATTCAATTTGTTTTTTTGCAATGAGTCAAGGATGAACAGAAATCCCTTCAGGTATTCCAAAACAAATGTCTTCTCATAACGTTGATCAGCAAAGAATAAGAAGCAAATAAACATATGTACTCTATGTTTTCAAATAAAATGCCCAAGTCATCAGGGCTACCCGATATACAAGCACTGAATATAATTCAGTTTCATATAATCCCTTGATATATAAAGGTATGGAGGCTATTTAGTTTCCTCTGAAAATAAAATAACTAGCTAAAATATAGCTCTCTGACTTTGTGCTTGCTTGTCTTTCTTAATTTACCTAGCAATGACCTGTAAATAAAATTCAGGAGAAGATAATCTGTTATTACTTGAAAAGAACTCGGGAGTTTAAAGTAATCAAGCCAATACAGATTAAAATATCCTCTTGGTATTGCTACATTCCAGCTGATATAACCAGACAGAAGACTAATAATATCAATACTTTGCACAGAAGGAAGCATTTCGTTTTAGGTTTTGCACATATCTTATGGTTATAGGCTCTATGTGTCAAAATATATATATATATTTTTTTGTAAATATAGATTTTTATTGAAAAGGAGTGCAAAGAAAAGTAATAATACAAGACTTCCATGTGGGGCACCCAGGTCTGAGATATTCTAAATATGGTGCAAGACGATAAGTGAGTAGACAACTAATTTGTAACAACATATGCAATGTAAAGTTTACTGATGGACTTCCCATTTAGTGAATGATAAAGAGATATGCGACAACATTTAAGCCCTGTGTGCTAAGAACTTAACAGGCCTAGTTCGTTAAGTGTTCTCGCAACCCTGGGTAGATCAACACCCAGCGTGCAAGAGCAATACAACATAGTACATCACACATTTTGTCAACACAAATATACTTTGTTCACAGGTGGATACCCCCAGGGCTCGATTACCATGGTGAAATTGCATAATGATTAACCCATGTAGAAGCAATTTATCCAAATTTATGGTATACAAAAATGAGAGATGATTGAGATGAAATGGATCTTTGACTTGGATACATTGTGGCCAAGAGGTAGGTAGCTAAACATAGCCTTTGAAATGGGCATTTTAATATGATTTATTTATATTTTTAGGATATATTAATTTTGATATATTTGGTTTTATAATTATTTAATGTATACTAATTTGCTATTTGCTTTCATTCTTTTTCCCGTGTATATTAGGTATTTTTCCTATTTTACCTTTATTTCCTTTTTAGTACTCTGTTTTGTACATGATGGAATGGTGGATTTAAAACTATTTTATTATCCATCATTGCTCCCATTAAATATAGATGGATTGTGGTTTTATGTATTTTAAATGTGGTTTTATAGTGCAAATCATTGTTTTGATATGTGTAAAATGTAATTTGAATATTTAGCATTGATAAAATGTCATTTACTGCTGTCTAAATTCCACACATGCGCCAAATGGAACGCATAGATGCACAGTGGAACGCTGGACTATGACGCATACCAGTAGTGACACATCAATGCGCGTCTTACGTATGTCGGAACGATATGGTGAAAGCGAGGCTTGACACTCAGGCCCATGGGGAATGCATCATTGGATGAACTTACCGACATCTTGGAATACATGGACATTATTTGAGAATGCCGCAAATGGTGCGAAAAACTATTTCCGCTGGAGGGATTTAAATACAGGACAGTAACCAAATGAATTTAATGCACTTGAAAAAGACTTTACGTTGAAACACATTGTGCCATTTAATTTTACAGTGTAGTTTTCTTATTGTCACTCTTTTGGTTTTGATCTAATAAAGCAGTCGTTTGACTATGATCCAATCTCTGGCCTGATTCCACACTTTGTGGACCATACTATGTCTTAGAGAGAATAGCAGTTTAGAAAAGAACTGAACAAGTATGGTTTCTTTGGAAGGGTTGTCAGAAGAAAGCCTCTCCTTTTTAAAACAAACATGGCAGCAATGCTTAGGTTTGCAAAGTTGCACCTGAACAAACCACAAGACTTCTGGAACAATGTCCTTTAGACAGATAATAGCAAAGTGGAGATGTCTGACCATAATGCACATCCCAATGTTTGGCGAAAACCAAACACAGCATATCAGCACAAACACATCATAACAACTGTCAAGCACCATGGTGGAGGGCTGATGATTTGGGCCACAAGACCTGGGGACCTTGCAGTCATTGAGTCAACAATATACTGAATATATCAAACACACATACCTCAGTGGAAAAACAGTGGGAGTTAAAACTAGTTAAATGCCCTTTTCACTTAAATTTGTAGATAACAGAAGATTCCTCTCTGTCTTCATTAAAATGTGAAAAACATGAATCTACAATAAAATAATACAACAAACAATAACATAGTACAGTAAAAGCACCATAATATGGTACATGGTATTATTGCACTCACAAAGATAAAAATGTAGTAGGCAGAATACACAACACCTTCTCCAGAAGGGAAGAAACCTTTCTTCTTGTTCTTATTTATTTGGAGCTTAGTGATGATATGTAGGAGACAGAAGCAGAGAAAGCAGCAAACATTGGGCAAAACTGTATGATATAAAAAACGCTTTAATTACAATTGCACTCGCAGTGTTTCCAATACTAAAAGGCACATTAAAGGCAAATCAAAGGAGAGCGGGACAAAATTCTTACATATTTAAACAACAAAACAATAAAAGAAAGAGAACAAGAAAGAGAAAGGAGGAGAAAATTTTTTATATTTTGTGGCACTACGCGTATCTTCCTTTCAGATCTCATAGACCCACTTGGGATTGGTAAAATATTCCTTCCATGGTTCCCAAACTGTGACCAAGGTAGTTGTCAGCTCATCCAGATATACTTATCTTCCATATTTTGTAAAGATGATCCTTCAATTTTTAGCCAAGCTGCTACTAATTGCTAAGTCCTTAATTACTTTCCAATAGTTATGTAGTTTGGGACAATTCCACTACATATGCAAGAAGGTCCCCTTGTGTTCGCCAGCAGAGATCAGATATGTTACGTCCAATTTTTTGTAAAAAGACTGGGGCAATATGCCAGCGATTCATGACTTTGTACATCTGTCCTTATGAGAGGATATAAACATATAATCCTTTGAAGGGGTGAAATTCTTCCCATTCACCCCTTCAAGTGAATCTTTAAGATCAGCCTCCCAGTGTTCTATATATTGCATAGGTCCGAAATAAATCAGAAGTAGTTAAATGGTGGTTTTGTTGTAGAATTTCATAACTAACCACAGAGTCTACTTGCAATAAATGGTGAAGTCTCTGGATCACCGCTATCTCTAAATTTTTGAAGTCTTGTGGTCTCGTGCTCGGGGGAAGTATCTATTATGGAAGACTGGAGCCATAAGAGAGGGATTATTGGCTAATTCATATTCGCTTCTGGATCAGTCTCAAAACTCTATGGAGTTCAATATCAAAGGGCAATTTGTTTGAAGCAATGTCCTAGATGATTTATTGAGCCGCATATAAAATTTTGTTCGATTTTATTAAACTTGTTTATAGCTCCACCCATCTATGGTCCCTGGAGGTGCGTGACAAATCACTATTTAGGAGAGTTGGGCTGCATAGTAATATAATAATACATTTGTAAAGACTGGTCCTCCCTTGTTTTGGGGTCAATATAATACATTTCTGGCTAAACTATGTAATTTGTATTTGTGTCAAATAAATATATAGTTCTCTGTAGACCAACTAAATCTCTTTTTTTCTTTCTTGTAACTTGAATAGATATGGCCTTTAAATAGGAATGAGTTTTGGTAACATGTTCATTTTTATACAGTTAATTCTCACTAACAAGGTGTAATGGATCGCCTGGTACCCCGCCTGGGCACCTCCGTTGACGGATGCTTCCTAACTGACGCCGAGGAAAATAAGCATCGCACTGGACCCCACAAACACAGCAGAGTCCACAACCACTTAACTGGAGTCTCGCCATCTTCCTTCCACCCTGGACCAACCTCTGTCCTCCAGGACCGTGTGGGAAAGACCTCTCCTCCAGGAGAGCGTATCAGGAGCAGCTCTTAAAAGAGCTAAGTGATTAGACCTCAGGGGAATATACAAAGTATAGCAATCCCCAGTGTGATTATAGCAGTTCCCTACAATAACGAGACAAGGCTGCATATTGTGGGTTAAGCAGGAACAGAACGCACTGAGGCTTTATTGCTTCTTTTATACACTTTTTCCCACAAGGTTACCACCAACGTGGACCTTGTTGGGCACTGAAAACACAAACTCAACAACCAATCATTTACAGCAATGGTAGTCAACCTTTTTCCACTTACTGCCCACTAATGCATCTTTCTTGATGGAAACATTTCCTTACCGCCCACCAGTTTTCGCGCAAGCGCAGAATATTTTTTAGAAAGGAGGGTGTTTTAAAAAAAATAAAATAAATGTATGCACATTTATATTTTTATTTCTACTTTATGCATGTTTATAATGTTTTTAACTTTATAAAGTTTAATGAGGAAGCAATAAAGTAAATTGAAATTACCTTTACTAGTGATGAATGAGTTCCTTGAGGTTGATGCTGCGAGACTAAATATTTGATATCTGGTTTGTTTTTCGTAAGGAACAAACGAAGGTCTCCTCTTTCGGTGATAATCAGAAGACTTCTTTGTTTGCTCATAAAATTATTTCTCATCTGTACGTCAGCTCCCCTCCTCTCCCTTCTCAATTCCCCTCCCCACCTTTTTTCCCCTTTTTTCTATTTTTTAACCTTACTTCTAGCAATGGAAGGCTGAGCTAGGTAGCCCACTTACTATTATTAGTCAACAACAATTCTCTCCTTTTCCTTTTCTTTCCTTCTCCTTTTTTACAAGTACTCTACTCCTTTCTCCTATTCTAGAAGTACTCTACTCCTTCTTTCTCCTATTCTACAAGTACTCTGCACCTTCTTTCTTCTATTCTACAAGTTCTCTGCTCACAGACAAACACACACACACACACACACACTCACACATACATTTACAGACAGACACACTCACAGACAAACACTCACACATACACTTACAGACACACACACTCACATAGAAACACATACACACAAATATACACATACTCACACATGCACTTACAGACACTCACACATGCACAGACAGACACACAGACACACACACACACTTACTGACACACACACATATACTTACAGACACACACACACACACACACACTTACAGACACACACACACATATACTTACAGACACACACACACACACACACACATACACTTACAGACACACACACACACACACACACATACACTTAATGACACACACACACACACATACACACATACACTTACAGACAAACACATATACACACAAATTATTAATATTAAATGTCCACCCAGCCTCCCTACCTGGAGAGCTGGTGTGGATCTGTCCCTGGGGTCCAGTGGGGCTTCACTTCGGTGGGCGGCTAATCAGATGCGGTGAGGGAGCTCTAACCTCTTTGCTCTGCTCCCTCGCGGACTGTCTACTGATGCCGGGAGCCGGAATATGACGTCATATTCCGGCTCCCGCGGCATCAGCAAACATCGCGCGAGGGAGCAGAGCAGAGAGGTTAGAGTTCCCTCGCCGCATCTGATTAGAACTCTACCATGCCGGGGGGGTCCAGAAAGTGGCCTGGCAGGAGGGAGCACTTCCTCCTGCCGGTCACTGAAGACTTGCGCACGCAGAGCCGCTCGCGCCCACCCAAAAGGAGAAATCCTCTTAAAAAGAGGACTTAACCTCCGAAATCCCTACCGCCCACCTGGAATCCTGAAATGCCCACTAGTGGGCGGTAGGGACCAGGTTGACGACCCATGATTTACAGTTACACAGCTAAACACTCCCATTCATTACAGTAAATTCCTCCCCTCTGCTTGGGAGATAATTATCTCCAAGCAAAAAATATACTTTTTACACATTTCTCATAAAATCAAAACTATACATGCAGTTCCAATACATTTTCTGAACCAGCATAATTAGGGAATAAACATATCCAAAAATCATGCGAATTGGTCCAGGAGATAGCTGGAAGTCTCATTTGACCGACCCCACACACATTTTCATGCCCAAAACAGTTCCACAGATTTGGGCTGTGCGGCCGGTCTATTCACCCTAGTTCAAATACTGTTCAAATTCACGAATGGCAGCCGTTTGTGCAAATTGGCAATGTTAATGTGGTGTTCGTATTGTCGCACACCGTTCGACTACAGAAGGTAAGAGTTCAGCAGTGTTCGTGCCATCGTGTATCCGATTTTAGTTCCATGAACTCAACGGCAAAACACCGCTGACCGCGTTCGGCTAAACAAGATGGCCGCCGCCACGTGTTCAACTATACGAATGGCGACCACCCAGCCATTCGTATATTAGCTTGCGGTTAACCACCAGCCTGGGAGGTAAATTGGCTGCACACTCCACTTGTGTGTGGTCCAGTTGTTCGGTAATTCGAAGTTCCACTTCGACCACTTCAACAGTTGAAAAGGGGCATTGTGCCAAGTCTCAATATGCCCCAATAATGTTCTTAAAGGGCAATACACACCAGTGCCATAATCACAGGGCAAAAGGCTAGCCATTAGTCCTCTCCAAGAACAAGTGGCGAAGGGCACTTCATCACACCAGGATATTAGATGATCCTGCTATTTTTAAATTTCCGTCTTTAAAATTTGTAATAAAGGGAAATAGCAAATTTAATATAAATTGAATATGACTGACCTATTGTGATTCCTAAATACTTAAATG